CTGATGGTCTAATATCTAAAATAATTCAAAATCTGAAGCACTATCAATTCCAGATTTCAAACTTTGTACTATTATATATCTAATTATTCATCTCAGTGCCTTATATGAAAATAATCAAAATATTTGTATTTTGTTACTCAAATATTAAAGGTAGCTTTATTGTGAGAAGTACAGCAAAAGCTCTTAATTATTGTTAAGCACCAGTTGTGTTAACACCAAAAATAATTTATCATTACCTTGTTATCTCTACATATAATAAAACAGAGTCTGTCTGTGTGTGTCTTTCGTTCACGCTGCACGTAAGCTAATAGACTCACGGCTACGAAATTTGGTACATAGGTACATCTAGACAAGAGCCAGTGCACCTCGAAGCAATTTTTTCGAAATTTGAATCGGAATTTCTTTTATTTTATGTTTTGTGACGAAATCGCGTCATTTTGAGACATAATGGGCTATAGCAAAGCGAGATTTTACTCTACACACTCCATTTTCACATCGTCATGAAACGTAGGCACTTAGCTATTTTACGAATTTAAAATAAATTCCGTGTTTCAATAAATCGGTTAAATACGAATTTATTTAACAGAGGGAGCTTAACACCTTTTCAACGGGATTTTTTCTAAAAAAGTTTATTTTTTTTAAATGTACAGTTTTATTTTTCTTTGATTTTTGGACACGTTAAACTTTCATCCTTGCGACTGCTCTTACACAAAAAGATTTTGGAAAAATAAATATTTAGTATTAAAAAAAAAAAATTAAATGAGCTTCCGAGTACACTTCTCACTCACACATCTTTAAAATGTGATTTTGGCAACAATTTTCCTGTCTTGTTGTTGATAGATTTTTGATGAAATTGCATCATCATTCTTTTAGAAATATGGGTTTGGCAACTTTTTTTTTTTTTTTTATGACTTTGTTGTGCAGAGTAAAATTCTGTGAGGAATTTTTTGTTTTTTGAGTTTCTTTCATGTTATTTTTTGCTTATTTCACTATTTGTAAGATATTGAAAAGTTTTGCATGATTTTTTTTTTCTTCAATGGAAAGTTGGTTAATTTTTTTATTAGGATGATTAATATTTGTATTTAGGGATATAGCTTATTTCATTGTAATTTATTTCTCTTGAAAATATAAGATAAAATATCATTAATTATACTTTGCTTTTCAGAATTTTTTATTTTTTGTATTCTTTTATGTTATTTATTGCTCATTTCACTGTTTTTAAGATATTGAAAAGTTTTGAGTGATTTTTTTTAGTTCTTAACCTCCTTTATACCATTTGAGTTCTTAAGATTTTGCAAAGGGAAGTTGGTTAATTTATTTATTAGGATAATTAATATTTGTATTAAGGGATATTGCTTATTTCATTGTAATTTTGTTATACGTAATAACTTTTTTTTATGAAGTTCTTCTGCAGAGTAAAATTCTGCGCAGTTTTTAAATTTAACGTTTGGTGTTTTCTTCAGCCATTGTTCCGGTACATTTAAAAGCCAGACGAAGGCTGGCAGCGAAGCTGCTAGTATAATATATATATCTTAAAACTATAGAAAGATATCAGTATCTTTCTATAGTCTTGCTTTAAAGTATAGATTAGTCTGTATGCTTTTCATTCTTAATGCTCTAAATTAGTTATATTTTTTAATCCAAATTAGTTATATTTTCTTGTATATCAGCAGTTCTCAACTTTTGACTAACATGTACCATATAAACAAAAATGGAAAAACTTTAGTACCACTACTACATTTTATAATGATTATTTTGTCAGTTTCTCAATAGAAATATTAAAAATTACTGTGTGTGTGTGTAATTCATATATATATATATATTGCCATTTGCACAACCTATTCGCTATTTGAATTAAATATACACACATTAAAAATTATATTAAAAAATTGGTTACCATACCCATCAAAATTTAAGTTATAATGCTTTTATTTTAAACTTTAGTGTGAAATTTAGGCCTGTTTAAGAAAGATCAATTGCTTTACATCTGGTCTTAATTTCACTTAGTTTTAACCATAAATTAGAATGCACTTTAATTTTGTACTGTATTTATTTTTCAAATACAGTACAAAGTCTTTAATCCAGACGTCCATAATCCGGAATGATCTATAATCCAAACCTCAAAGCTACAAACTTTATGCACACGCATAAACACATTAATGCATTTACGTTTATGCATGCACCTTTAATGCGTGTGTCCGCTATGCATGCGCGTAAAGAGAAGAGATACTGTTTATAGAGGGAGACTGTTTATAGAAGAGAGGATTAAAGAGAAAGCATTAGCACAAAAAAACGAAGCAACTTAAACAACTTACATTGAAAGAAATGTTTAATAAAGTAAACAAATAAATATTAAGCTTTTTTTTTTTTTTTTTTTTTTTTTTTTTTTTTTTGTAAGTTTTGATACCCTTTAGATCATAATTGCTCTTTATTTCATAAATTGCGGTTTCATATTTTTAATTGTATAATTTCTGCATGTCACCTTTACCAGATATAAATTGATGATCTATAATCTAGAAAAACTCCTAATCCGGAATAATAAAGTCCCGACGAGTCCGGATTACGGACTTACATTACATGGAAGAAAATCCTTGTTCACACAAATAGATTGTGCAAAAAGGCAATAAAAATTTGAAATGCCTTTAAATTCTTTTCTTTTTCTTTTTTTCTTTTTTTTTTTTTTTTTTTTTTTTTTTGGTTCAGCCAAAAGTTAACAAGCGTGTTATTTTTGAAATCTTCAGTTAGAGTTCAATCACAGGAAATTTCCATCAATTGGAGATTTTTGAATTTAATTGTTAAAAATACTTTGTTTCTTTGTGGTATCACCTATTTTTCTCTTGTGTACTACCGGTTAACAATCCCTGGTCTAAGCAGCTGTTGACCTTGAAAAAAGCTCAGATTGCAAACATTTACGAGTGTTGGAGAAAAAACTCAATCAGGATGTTGGGATTTTAATTTTTGAATTTAATAGTTCAAAATACTTTGCTACTTTGCGTACCACATATTTTCTCTTGCATACCACCGGTTGAGAACCCCTGTTGTATATGTTAGAGCGTTTTACTCTTGTATTTAAGTTACAAATTTTTAAATTAATATTTTTTAAACATATGTATATATGTGTGCATTAACACTTTAAATGGCTGAATTTAAATACTACATTTCCTTTGAATTAATTATTATATATATATATGTAAGTGGAAAATATGTAAATTATAATTTATACTAGCAGTAACCCCTTAATTCCCCCTCTCTCTTCTAAAACTCATAACTTTTCTGGATGACATCATTTCTAGATCAATTCATCTCGCACGGCTTGCTTAATGCTGATGACATAGCTAATTCAGAATTTGAACTGAAAATTTTGAGAACTGAATGAAACCTTTCTAACCTAAACCAAAACCTCCTGTGGTGAGACTCCATATTGGATAACTGCATACTTTTGCTTCAGCTGTCTTGCATTCAAGATGCTATCCACTCCCTTTGCTTTGTCGTGCTGCTAACTATGCCATTATTTAAAATGTGATACTCTGCTATAATACACACACACTAATATATCTAATCTTTTTTCAGTCTTAGTGATCATTTATTGTTGTGGAAATATGTGGACTTTATTTTGGAAAAAGATGAAGTATTAGGTGTAAAAGTAAGCAGAATTATTTTATTTGTTATATTAGTAAACAAGCTTAGTTCTTATTGACTTTATATTGATAATATTTTATGTGAAAGAAGCAGACAATTTTTAAATATCTAATTTTGACAAAATAAAAGAAACTTGCTTTTAAAGTAACTAGTATGTTGTTATGAGTGTTTTATACACTAAACTTTAGTATAAGTAAAAATAAAGTGTGAACTTTACGAAAAAATAAGTCAATTTTTGTCTAAAAGGAACTTAAATTTAATTCTTTTATTAATTGTGTATATTTTTATTAATTAGTGATAAATTCATGTACATTTATGTGGTTTTTCTTTTAATCACAGTAGCAATTTTAAATGTCAAGAACTACCATTTACTACAGAAATTATTAATGATTTTATTGAAAAATTCCTTTTTATAGTACATTCATACTAAAATGTAGCTCCAAATTTTACATTTTGACAAACCATTTCAGATAGATAAAACTTGAATGATATGTTATTAAATGCTTTTGAAATCAGTGTCTTCTATTTTTTTTTTTTTTTTTTTTTTTTTTTTTTGTACATACGTTTTCCAGCCACAAAACTGTAAATAACTGTAGTAGCAAGAGAATTATCTTAAAAAGAAATATATTCTATGTATGTATTCTAGAGGCATGCTTATTTTATTTTCTAAAATTTTTTTTGTTTTGTTTTTTTTTAATTCCATGCTTATAATAGAAATTATAATGACAGAAAAATAAAGAATTAACGAGTCATAACAGGACTAAGTAATATTAGCAAAATTATAGTGAAATTACATAGTTCAATAAGTTATTAGGAAGTTTATTTATCAAAGTATATTTGAATCCTCTGATGATAAGAAAAAGAAAAGATTGTCAAAGAATATGCACTTCCAAAGAAAGTGTGAAGGTAAACTTTTCAAATTTATAGGTAAAGGTAAAATTTTAGGTAGAAAAAAGGAGTATCCAGTAAAGCTGTCTAAAGAATATTTCAAGTGCATGATATTTAAATGAGCTAGCGATCTGAAAAAAAAAAATGTCTAATATTAACATGATAAATAAGAAGAAATGTAAAATTTATTCAAAGATCTATGTAAAAAAGCCTTGATATTGCGAAAAGGTAATAAAGACTGACAAAAGCATAATGGAAGAAAACTTGTTTGGAAAAGATTAGCATATATCTAGAAACAGAATTTAATTTCAGCTGTGAAAGGATCTGTATCGTTTGGAGTTGCATGGCAGGAAAAGTTGTTGACGGTCTGTGTCCACCACCAGCCAAATGGTGAAAAATGCTTGCCGTATGTAAATACAGTAGTACTTTGAGACACAAATGCCCAATATATAAGTTTTTGAGATATGAGTAGTTACTAGCTCCAGTTCTTGTTTTGTATTACAGGTCAAAATTTGAGATACGGGCTAGCATTGGTGAGGTCTCAACATTTGGTATGTGCAAGACTTGCAAGTCTTGCACATGCTAACTGGCTGGGATGTCACCATTGCTCAGACTCACCAGCCATTTCAATTCACCTTCCCACTGAAGCATTCCTATCATGTTGTTTTAATTTTATGTTTTTTTATTGGCACAGACAGTTGTTTAGTTAATTTATTTTTCGTATAACCATAAGTCCCAAGAAGATGAGTGTAATGAATAGTGGTGAGGGGAAAAAATGGTGATACCTATGGAATTAAACCATGAAGTGACAGACAAACATGAGCAAAGTGTAAAAGACAACAATACAGTATTGTCGTACTTCTATGATATTTACTATTCTGAAACAGAAGAACTCAATAAAGTCTATGACTGCAACTAAGGGCATTAAAATTATTTCAAAGCTTTGCAACTCTGTCCATGGAAAGGTGGAGAATCTGCTGTTATTGTGGTTGATGGAGAAGCAGATCACTGGAGGCACTGTAACAGAGACTATAATTTGTGAGAATGTGCAATTTATTTACACAGATTTGCTGCAGCAGAACCCAGGTACTTCATCGCAGGAAGCATCAAAGGAGCAGTTCATAGCCAGTCGGAGATTATTTGTGAATTTCCAAAAAAAGAAAGGACTTGTATTACTCACACCAATGTCAGGCAGGGTGAGGCAGAGGGCTGTGATTATAAGGCAGCTGAGCAATTAGTAAAAACCTTTACTGAATTTACTGAAGCCAAAGGATACATCCCTCAACAAGTGTTCAACTGTAGTAAGACAAGGCTCTTCTGGAAGAATATACCAAGCAAAACTTACCAAGACAGGTAGACTCTCGCACTGTGTGCAAATGCAAGTAACGACTGCAAGATGAATTGGCTTTTCTTATACTACTCAGAAAAACCATGAGTTTTCAAGATTTTAAAAGAGAAGCTACAGATTATGGGGAGGGCAAACCCCAAAGAATGGGTCACCAGTAACACAACTGCTATCCTACAGCCCATGGACCAACAGCTGATCTCCAATTTCAAGAAACTTTTCCCCAAACACATGTTTCAACACTGCTTTGAGGTTACAGAAGAAAAAAACCTCACTCTTCAAGAGTTCTGGGAGAACCACTGTGACATTGCCATATGCCTCAAAGTTATTGATATGGACCAGCAGGGTGTTACAAAAAGGACCTTGATCTCTGCAAGGGAAAAGCTGTGGCCTGAAGTTGTAACTGAAAGGGACTTTGAAGGATTTAAACCTGAACAGAAAGTGGATGAGGGTGATATCAAAGAGCTTGTCACTGCACAATCCGAAGAACTGACGACAGAGGAGCTGATGAAACTACAGATACAGCAAGTGGAATTTCTGCAGGAGGTTGCTGAGGAGCCAGAAGTGGAGGAGGCTAACTTTTCAAGTGAGCTAAAGGATGTGTCAGCAATATGGGAAAAGTTTCGGACTTTGTTGAAAAGAAACACCCTAAAAAGGTTACAACTGGTCATGCAGCGATGCCATTTAATGACACTTGGCCTAACTCATTTCAGAAACATTCTAAAAGGGAGAAAGAAACAAAGTTCTTTGAACAGGTTTCTATTGAAACTCCCTTAAAATGAAAATGGCGAAAGCATAGCAAAAAAGAAAAGAACTTCTGAAGAAGAAAATAAAGTTAAGCAAAAATGGGGGGGGGATTTGTTACGTATGTCATATGCCAATCTAATACATATGCATGTATTTATTTCATTAAATTATCTTTTATTAGGTTTTATTAAAAAATTAAATTACTGTGTTTTATTTTGTTTATATATAATATTTGTTCATTATAAATATATATATATTATGTTGAAAACATTTAACAAAAAAATTGGAATGATTTTTATGGGCTCTTGGCATGAATTAATCACATTTCAATTAATTTCAGTGAGAAAACTGATTTGAGATATGAGAGTTTTAACTTGCGAGCAAATGGTTGACTTAGAGTGTGTGTTCACTGTGTTTATTCTATAATACATTTTAAATGAAAAATTTTTTGTAATATTTGATTTATATACTGTTTAAACAGAATAGTCAAATTTTTAGAGACTAAGATGTGAATATTTCTTCATAAGTGAAATATTTATTTATTAAATACATCAGTAATTTTTCTGTTTTTCATGTTAATATTTGTGATATAAATGACATGCAGTTAAAAAGAGGATAATATATGTTTAAAAGTGTATAATATTTTAAAGTAACTGTTATTTAAATTAACTGGGTGTTTATGATTTGCATTTTACTATATTTTCTTCTTTCTGTTCCCCACCAGAAGGCAAATCAATTAGTATTTAAACTGGAATTTTTGGATTTTAAGAAAGCGTTTGTTTCTGCCTTTTGCAGCAAGTTATGTTAGCTCCTGTCAGCTCTAAACAGTTTGTAATTATTGTAGGGTCATTAGGATTTTTGAAGAAACATAAAAAAATGAGCAGTGCCCTCACTGGGACTCGAACCTAGACCTCTTAACTATGCACCAAGTGTGCTACCATTACACCACAAAGGCATGCAGGAAGGAGGGAGACCTTATATACTTCTCTTTTTAAGGGGAGACTGGGGATTATGGGATCCATTTGCCAAATTCTTCCAAAATTCATCATCCACCACCTTTTAGTTCGGGTGCCAGTGCAGATTTCTTAGGGTTTTTGAAAAAGGAAACACGTAAAATTAACAATGCTCTTGCCAGGATTCGAACCTGGATCTCTCAAATATGCACCGAGTGTGCTTACTGTTGCACCACGAAGGCATGCAGGAAGGAGGGACAAAATAGCTTATATTATTTGGCTTTGAGTTACTGTTGCCGACATTTACATTTGATATACTGGTTAAAAGTTCTGAGCAAGCTTAGATTAAAGTTTAATTGTGTAGTCTTTGACTACTATTCTACTTTTTTAAATTGGAATTTAATTGTTTAGTTGCATGGGCATGAGTTATAAGGTATTTTTTCACTCGCCTCAGCATGCCTTCATGGTATAACAGTAGCACATTGGGCACATATTCGTGAGGTCCAGGGTCGAGTTCCGGTGAGGGCATTGCTAATTTTTCATGTCTCCCGGTAAAATAATAATGATAATGTAGAGTTGCCAGCTCTCCTGATTTAAGCATGAGACTCCTGATTTCCGGCCATATTTCCAACCTGATTTTCAACATATTTCTCCCGACCTTCTCTTATTCTTAAAATTTCTCATGATTTTTATATAGCTTTGCTTAATACTTCGCTATTTGCACCAAAAAAATTAATTTTTGGCATCGGAAAATGCTTGCTTTTCTCTAGATATGTATAAAAAGAACTGAAGTTATTTCGGCGCATTTCTGCTTAAACCCCTATCACATCTAGCAACGCGCACTGTTAGGCGGGATATTTCCGAGGAATGAGATTCTGGTAGCATTGGTTTGAATGGCAGGATTCCAAGAAAAACCAGCATAACTGTAGGTGATGTTCCATCTATCTGAAGAAACAATGTCCCGGCTGTGTGGGACATTTTAAAACTTTGCCGAAAATTTTCTGTTTGCAGCAGAACTTTTGTCTGCTGCAAAAGTTCTGCTTCTGAAGGATAACGGATAATTTCCGATAT